TTATTTAAAAATGGTGGTGGGTGGTTCTTAAAAAAACTTTTCCCAAAACTTTTCCGCCCGCTCCCCTCCACCCTCCCACCCTAAAAAAAAAAAAAACCATAAATTATTAACTCTGACGTCGACGGACGTTTTTTTTTTTTTTTTTTTATAATCCGAAAAGTTTTATTTAAAAAAAAAATGAAGAGGAAAAAAAAAAGGAAAAATAATTTTCCTTCCAGGAGTTTAAAAAAAAAAAAAAACAAATTCAAAAATATTATCTTTCGTGGAAAAAGAAGTAGAAAAATAATGGGAGGAGGAGGGGGAGGGGAAGGGGGGGAGAAAAAATGGCAAAAAAAAAGCTTTAACTTCGATAAAAAAAAAAATAAATAAATAAATAAATTTTTTTTTCTTTTTCTGTTGTTGCTGTTGAATGAAAAGTAACGGGAGTAATGGCGTAGAAGAAAAGATAAATGAAAGCAAATTTACCAAAGGAAAAAAATGGGGAAAACTTTTTTTTTTTTTTTTTTTAAATGGCGGCACATTACATGGTTTTGACGTAACGAAACAAAATGAAAATGAAAAAAAAAAAAGAAAACGTGACAGCTCAATACGAAAACGAAAATAATATTTATATAAAAAAAGAAAAAAAAGAAAAAAAGTTTTCCGTTTTTCCTCACAATTTTTTTTTTTTTTTATACTTAAGAGTATGATGTAATAACGACGAAAGAAAAACGAGTGTTGTTGTTGTTGTTGCGATCGCGGACACTAACATAAAACTATCAAATCGGTTGAATTTCTGAACGTACTCGCGCACGATTGCGACGTTGCAATTTTAAATGACGCGGTCAAAATAACTATTTTAACGGTTTTTCCTTTTACTTTTTTAAACAAAATAACGGATTGAAAATTGTTTTCGCGTTTTTAAAAAAGCGTTTTATTATAATTATTTGTAATCGAATAAAAATATACGTTAAATTCATTTAAATTTAATCGTTTTGATTGAATAAAAAGCAAAAAAAAAAAAAAGTTTTCGAATGTGCCTACATGCATACCTATACATTTCCCCCCCTCCCCGGTTTGTTTACGTCGGTTAAAATCGTTTTTTCAACTTTAAAATATTATAATATTATTAAAAGAGATGACAACCCGGTTCTATAAATTTATAATTTATTTATTTCATATCAATGAACCTAAATAAAAAAAGAAAAATTTTATACGTTATTAAATATAATAATAAATTATAATAATGATGATAATTTAAAATGGCGTACCCACCAAAAAAAATTTTTTTTTTTTTTTTCACGTAACATTTATTAAATCATCGATAATAAAATTAAATTATTTTTAAAAAAATTTATTTATTTTTAATACGGTTTAAATAATAATAATAATAATTTCTTTTATTATTATTATTACTATTATTTTAAACTAAATAAATCAGAATTTAAAAAAAAAAGTGAAAAGAAAAAGGTAGGAGACGTTAATTTAATTATTGTCATCATAATAAAAGTATTGAAAGAATAATAATAATAATAATATAAGTTATGTTTAACGTATGTTAATATTGAACCACACACGCACACGCACACACGCACGAAAGATGGTTAATAAAAAAAAAAAAAGGAAACTTAAAGATATTCAATAAATTTAAAATAAAAAAAAAAAATTTTTTATAGCAAAATTTTACGACTTTAAAAAAAAAAAAAAAAGTTTAAAGTTGTGGTTGTTGTTGTTGTTGTTGCGTTTTACTCTCGTTTTTTTTTTTTATATTATTAAATAAAATTTGACGGTTAAGATAAAAAAGAAGAAGAAAAACCTTTTAAGGATATGATTTGAAACAAGGTTTGAAAAATGTTTAAAAAGTAAATTTTTATACGTTTTACAATTCCCCCCATCCCCCAAGCCCCCCAGCCCCTCGCCTTCCCATTGGAAAATCGTATGGGGGGGGGGACGTTAAAATAAAAATCACGTGATTGATTGATTTTAAATAAATTAAAAATAATGTAACGAATTTGTACGATGTGATTTTTTATCAATTATTAATTTTAAATCTTAAATACCGATAATGGAAAATCTTTACCGGAAACGGAAATTGTTTCTTTTTTATTTTAAATTCTCCGTCGTCGTAAAAAAAAAAAAAAAAATCAATATTTTCAATCGATAAATTATTTAAAAAAAAAAAAAAATGGAAAGAGTAAAATATAAAAAAAAATCACATTTTTCTATAGAAAAAAAAAAAAAGAAAAATTTTTCTTTCTCTCGTAGTTTCCGGTTTAAAAAATGTCTGAACTTTTTTTTTTTTACATCGTATAATTTAAATATATATATATATATATATATATATATATATATATATATATATACGTATAAAAATTATTAAAGGTCTCGATGTTATATATATATATATCACGTACGGAAAAAAAAAAGAAGAAGAAAAAACAAAAAAAAAAAAAAAAGGTTTATTGGCATTTTGCAAGGGAGAACGGATGCGGGGGGGAAGGGTAGGTTGGGTGGACAATGGTGGGGGAGGGAGGGAGAGAAGAAAAAAGAAGAAAAACGATGCGGGCTGTATTATGTATAAAAAAAAAAATAATATTGAAAATACTGATAACCCCTCATCATGTAACCATATAAATTATTAACCCGATAAGACGCCGGAAAAATTATCATCATTATTATCATTATTATTATTATTATGAAACGTTATTTATTTCATAGTAAAATATGCGTAGGTATTTATATATATATATGCAAAATTTTATCCAAAGTAAATAAAATGTTGATGTTTTAAATATGGATCTTCTACTTCCGGTTTTGATAGTTTTACATTTTCGTATACCGGACCGAAAAGTTTATCTAAATTGTTATCGTTATTGCTCGATACCCAACCGATCATACCTGAAAAAAAAAAAAAAAAAAACATCAATTACATTTATTTTAATATTAATAATAATGATGATGATGATGATGTTGATGATGATGATGTGGGATAAGAGAAAAAAAAGGTGACAGAAAATACAAATCGTAATATTTAAAGTAATATTTGCGTTTCGATCGATGAATTTTAAAATAAAAATGGCGTCGAATTTACAAAAAAAATAAAAATCGAAGGGGAAGGGGGGGGTGGCCCCCGTGATAAAATTAAATGGGGCCCCGAATTTCAATGAAATCTATATCGTTTCTTTTTTTTTTTATTTTATTTACGTGTCAATCGTGTGTTTATCGTAATTTTTTTTTTACTAAATTTATTTTAATAAAAAGTAATAATAATGATGATGATGATGATGATGATTTAAAAAAAAAAAAAGGAAGGAAAAGCTACGATTGCTAGAGGTTGGAAAAAAAAATTTTTATTTTATTTAAGAATTCAATTTAATTTAGTTAAGTTAAATTTAAATTTCCATAGGGAAATGAGTAGTAGTCAATCTCCCGCCAAAATATTTCAAAAGTAGAGAGAAATTTGAATTTAACAAAAAAAAAAAAAAAAAAAAAAAGAAAAAACTCATTTTCCCGAAGGTTTTTCCCCCAAAAACTTTTTGATTAAGATGGAAAATTTTTAGACAGAAAAATGGCGGAAGAGGAGGAGGAGGAAGAGGAGGGAAGGAGGAAGTTGAAAACGTGGAATTTTTATTTTAATTAAACCGTGGGGAGGCGAGAGAGGGGTAGTTCCAGAAGGAAGAAGAAAAAATAAATAAATAAATGTTTATGTATAAATACCTGATGTTACTCTTGGAAATTTTTCAATGTGAATATGAGCATATTTTTCAACTCTTTCTTCCAAAATTGATTTCTTATCAGTTTTATTCCATTGAAATATATTTAATGGATAACCTAACCTGGTTGCTTCTTCTTCCATTAATTGTCTGAAATTTTTTAAAAAACCCCATTTTTTATCCCAATCTTCTCGTGTTCTTCTTTCTCTTTCGTATAATTCTTTTCTTTTTATTTAAAACAAACAAATAAACAAACAAAAACAATTTAAAATTATTAAAAAAAAAAAAAATCAAATAATAATAATAATAATAATAATAATAATATTACCTCATTTTAAGTTCTATATTGAAATCCATTTTGCTTATTTACCATTATATTAATTTTCCTCGTCCTTTTACAAATTTTATGTACATAAATATATTTATAATAGTTAATAATAAAGTTATTGACTGTTTTTTTAATTCATCATCGTGTAAGAAAAAGTCTGGCACAACCTAAAAAAAACCCCCCTTTCCCTTTCCCTCCCTCCCCGAAAATGAACAGCAACAGCAAGAGAAACCAATAATTTATTATTTTATAAAAAATTGTCATGGTTACACCATAAACAAACAAACAAACAAACAAACGAACAAACAACACACATCCTGTAAATAAATAAATAGAATTTTATTAAAAATGTGAATTTTTTTTTTTTTTTTTTTTTAACAAAAGTTTTAAATAAATAAATAAATAAAATTACCTTCGTTAATAAAACTTACGATTAATTAATTAATTTTTAAAAACAAATAATAAATAAATAAGTACAAAACGTTTTAATAATAATAATAATAATAAACGTTTATGTATATAATTCGAACGGTTTAAATAAATAAATAAAACTTTCTTTTTAACAACAATAAATAAATTTTATTGTTTTACTTTTTATACAAGTTTTTTATTTATTTATTTATTTATTTATGTATATTTTCCTTCCATCCCTTCCTTCCTTTTACTCCCCTCCCCTTCCATCCCCCCTTCTAACCTTTCCCATACATAATTTTTATTCTCATTAAAATAAAAAAATATTTATTATTATTATTTTTTTTTTTTTAGTCTAGAACGTTCTATTATTATTGTTAATAAAAAAAAAAAAATTTCAATTTATCGATTTTTTTAAACATAAAAATTTTATTTATTTATTGTTATTACGTCACGACGTTATGATTAACATTAATAAAATATGTATTATATATTTATGAAATTTAATAAAATAAATTAAAATGGAAATTTTTTTTATTAAATCGTTTATATCACATACGAGTAAAATCTTATTTAATTAATTAATTAATTTTATCGATCCGTGCAGTTGTGTTAATTACGTTTTTGACTTTGTCAGAAATTATATAATTCCCAATGGATTTTAATAATATTATTATCATCATTATCATTTAAATAAATTTATTATGTATGTATTATTATTATTATTGATTTATACGTTTATCGTTGTTAACATGCAAATGATTTTCATTTTATTATTATTATTATTATTAGTTATCGTTGGAAATGTGTTTTGTTTTAGTCGAAAGAGGATTAATTTTACTTAAATATATACGAATTTGTAATTAAATTTTAATTTCCTTTCCTACGAGATATACGTTGTTGTTGTTGTTGTGACGTCATCACTTAAATGAATTTTCCTCAAGTATACATATACATAGGAAACTATTTGTTATTATTCTACTACTTTTATCAATCATTTTACCGCCGCGAATTTTTATTTATAAACAATAACAATATTTTTTATATTAAATAAAATATAAAATATTTTAATTAATTAATTAATTAAATTTAAAAATAAAAAATAAAATAAAAAATTTTTTTTTGTTTGTTTATTTATTATCGTTAAACGAAAACGTCACCACTACTGACACCTTGCGGTGAAACGACGAACTAAATCCCGTTTCCTTTTTTAAATTAAGAAACTTGAAAGAGAAATTTTTAAGTTTTTTTTTCAAATTGACCACAAATTTTATAGAAAAAAAAATTATTTTGTATTTAAAAAAAAAAACAATACAAAGGATTACGTTCCGAAAAGTTTTTTGTGTAGCGGTGGAGGTAAATTTTCCGCCCATTTTAACGGATTCACCGAAACTATGACCATTTCTTCACCCTCTAACCAACTTACTGAAACTATATGCTAGAAAAAATTTTAAAAAGGTTTTTCCACCGTCATCATTACATTATTATCAATATCTCTAAATTGAAAAATAAATTTTTTTGTATGAAAACCAACCTTTGATTTTTTAATTACGTTAAATAATTGTTTTTTATTTACGATCGAACTCGACGTGTCTTCTCCATCGTGTAATTTCGCTTGTTTCGCTTCGCTTTTCGACACCACCTAACAATAATAATAATAATAATTTGTCAAAAAAATTAATGAGTACAAGAGTACAAGAGTTGAGTACAAGAACTCACGTTATTTTTATCGAAAACGCAAATATACGAATCGTCGTGTACAATCAAACTTGAATTTTTTCTCGTATCGAATGTTATGCTCGATATCGTCGTGTGTAAATGACTCGAAAGAGTATCGTCGAGATTTTTAGAAAATTGCGTGTACTGTCTCTCTTTTAAATCGTATTCGATTATCTAAAAATAAATCCTTTTTGAAAACGAAAAATTTATTTACGACAAAAAAAAAAAAAAAAATTATAAAATTACCTTTAAATCCGAATAAGCGACGACAACTTGATGAGATCCTTTTCTCATAGATATGGCCGTTATGGGAACGTTATGTTTTGGCAAAGTGCAATGCAAACTCCAATCTGATATTGACCACACGGCAATGTTACTGCTACAATCAGCTGCTATCAGGTAACAGGTATCCGACGGTACCGTCAAGTGAGAAATCGTATCGGTAAAAACTACAATTAAAGAAAAAAAATAACATTTTGGAAATATTTCCAAAGGTAAATTATTAAACAATCAACGCCAATTATTTTCATTTTGTACTTTTATTTTCCAACGGTTCGATTGTTTGCAAAACGTCCGGACCTGTTTCATTAACTTCTAATATATTTATTTCGTTATTTTTCGTTACCACTGCGCAAAAATTTTTTTCTTTCAACTGATAAAATTGTATGAGTCTGCAAGGTCCAAGGTTATCAGACGTCGATGGTAATTTAATCAATGGCATAGTTTCTTCCTGTAAAACGATTTTTAAAAAATTCAATATGTCTGTTATTCTTTTACATACATTTTACCGGCATGAAACCTTACAGGTGAATATTCAAAAAAGCTGATGGATTTATCTGTGGAATAAGCCAAGAATCGTCCATCCTCGGATAGGGAAGCTGATATTATGACGTCGTTTTTCTTTGCGTTCAATTGCAATAATTTAATTTCGTTTTCATCTAATGGTATAAATGAATCGTAAGTATCTTGATCGAGAGAAACTTGTCCCAATTTCCACAATTCTAAATGTGTTAAATGCCTGAGGAGAACATACTTTTTGGATGAAACAAAAGTGGAACAGGGTCCCTGGAAAAAAATTTAACAAATTTAAAAATTTTTATTTCGATATTTTTCCCCAAGTTATTTTTTATTATAATTTATTATTACCTTTAAAAGAGGAGGAAATTTAATAAGAACTTTTGGTGGATATGAACTTAAGGCTAAATAACCATCAATACCACCAGAATAAAGTTTTTTATCAGATGATATAGCTAATGCTCTAACATCATGTTCATGAATTTTTCTTTGTCCTCCTTTAGCCCATTTTCGTCTTCCACCAGAATAATCGGAAACCTTTCCATAAATTACTATTAAAGGGTCTACACCTGGAAACAAAATAAATAAATTTTTAAAAATGTTTTTAAATGTTTTATTTGAAAATTTTTATGATAATAAATACCTGCACAATACACAGCAGATTCATCATCTGTTAGTGTCAACGATAATATGTCAGCGTCATGAGAATTATTACTTTCGATTTGTGCACCGATTTTACCATCCCAAAAACAAAGACAACCCCTAATTAATGAAAGAAAAAAATAAATAAATAAATATTTTAATTAATATTAAGAAAAAATTATAAACATGTGTCTTACCGAGAATCACCACTGATAATTGTGAAGTCACTTGTCACTGATAAGCACCATACAACTGTTTCCTGATTATTTTTATTTCTTCCAGTCATCATTTTGTGTATTGCATGCCCTGTTTCAACATTCCAAACTCTGATTACATCAACTGATCCTGTTACTAAATGCTGACCGGATTTGTCCCAGCACAGGCATAAAATTCTACCCTGTTGCTTATCCAAAAATTTATAATGTTCTAATTTATCTTCTAATATTTCTAATATGTTGATGTAACCATCTTCAGTACCACACTATTTTTTTTTTTTTTTTTTTTTAAATAATTTATTTTAGTAAATTTTGTATGAAATAAAAAAAGTAAATCTTAAAATTTAGTTACTTACTGCGACTAAACCTTTTTTTTCATTTATATCGATACACCAGGCTGGTCCACCTGTTACATATTGGGAATACTAAAAAAAAGGTATTAATTGAGATTAACATAAAAAAAATAATTTTTTAGTTCAATAAAATAATCATATTACTCACTAAAATTGATTCATTTAAACAATTATATTCAACTATGTAGCCTTGCAGTCCACAACTAAACAATCTACTACCGTACCATTTTATATCTTCAATAGAAAAATTTAAACTAGAAAAAACTTTTTGCAGGTAGGGTGTAGATCCAACATCCCAAATTTCGATTGAATTATCCGATCTGAAAAATAAAAAATAAAATTTTGAAGCTATCTAATTAGTATCGTACATTCACACAAAACTTTAAAATATTTATTATTAAAATTTCACACATATTTTAAATTAACATAAAAGTATTTTTATAAACATACCTTGACAGAGCCAATTTTTTCTTTTTTCTCTCGAGAGCCATACAATGTATGGCTCTACATTCTGGATTGTAAAACCGAACGTTATGAGCAAAAACTTCGGCTTTACCCATTTTTTTATTCGCAATAAATTACAGTGATACAATTAAAATAAAGCGACTGATTACTAAAAGCACATGCTCAAGTCATATTTACGGTTGAATTTACCACTTCGATAGTATCGAGTTCGAGATTTCGATATATCGAGTCGTAATTCATTCAATGCAGCTTTTTATTGCCGGGCTTAACTTTCAGATTTCCAATGCACTTAATTTCATTACTATCATTTCTATTTAGTTTTATTGTATGCGATTAATATTTTATCCAATCCTTATTATGTACAATATCACAGGCAATAATTATTTATTATATTTTTACCAAAATTTGAATTAGTAAAATATATAACCATATTTTGTTCGATTTATTAAAAGTAGGTGTATTGTAATGCAAAAAATATTATTCTGACCTTAATGAAAAATCCTTCAGAAGTTTTCCACATCTATTAAAATTACTTAACTTATGATAAGGATTTTAAAAATACTTTCATAAATGAAATTTCGTAAATTGTTTAATTTTTTTTTTTTAGGTTTTAGAATTGCTAACTTTCATAATGACATCCATAATAAAATTTCAAGCCATATCTGGAGCAATGGATGAATCTCCTCCTTGCTTTATATTGCAGGTATATTTTTTTTACTTTCATAAAAAATCACATTATCTTAATCATTTCTACATTTTAAATTTTTATACAATTTTAACTATAGTTATTGAAGTATGTTTTGACCATTACAACTTTTGAATAACTTAATTGAACTTTAGGTTCAACATTTAAATTTCAGTCCGATATTTTTTTAATATGTTAGTTAATACATAAATTATTATAAAATATTACAAACATAAGTTTAAAAACTTAAAAATTAACAATATAAATGTTTTTGATTAAAAATTTTTCAGGTGGATGAATTTCGTTTTTTGCTCGATTGTGGTTGGGATGAAAAATTCGATCAAGAATATATGAAAGAATTAAAAAAACACGTACCTCTTATTGATGCAGTTATATTATCTCATCCTGATCCCCTTCACTTGGGAGCTCTGCCTTATTTGGTAGGAAAGTGCAGTTTGAGTTGCCCCATATATGCAACCATTCCAGTCTATAAAATGGGACAAATGTTCATGTACGATTTATATCAGTCTCGTTACAACATGGAAGAATTTGATTTGTTCACCTTGGATGATGTGGATGCAGCATTCGATAAAATAATACAACTGAAATATAATCAAAGTATTGCCATGAAAGGTAAAGGCTATGGAATCACCATAACTCCACTTCCAGCCGGTCACATGATTGGTGGTTCCATTTGGAAAATATTTAAAGTAGGCGAAGAAGATATAATATATGCTGTGGATTATAATCACAAAAAAGAAAGGCATTTGAATGGTTGTGAATTAGAAAAAATTCAAAGGCCTTCCCTTCTCATAACTGATGCTTTTAATGCAACCTATCAACAGCAAAGAAGAAGAGTCAGAGATGAAAAATTAATGACAAATATATTACAAACTCTAAGAAGTAACGGAAACGTGTTAGTAACGGTTGACACAGCAGGTCGTGTTTTAGAACTTGCACACATGTTAGAACAATTATGGAGAAATAAAGAATCCGGTTTATTAGCTTATTCATTAGCATTTTTAAACAATGTCAGTTATAACACGGTCGAATTTGCAAAATCACAAATCGAATGGATGAGTGAAAAATTAATGAGATCCTTCGAAGGAGCAAGAAATAATCCATTTCAATTTAAATACGTACAATTATGTCATTCTTTCAGCGAATTATCCAAAGTTCCAAGTCCCAAAGTCGTATTGGCGAGCACGCCGGATATGGAAAGCGGTTTTTCCAGAGAACTTTTCCTACAATGGAGTTCCAATCCTTTGAACAGTATTATTTTAACAAGTCGAACATCTCCGGGTACCTTGGCTAGAGATTTAATTGAAAATGGCGGAGACAGAATCATATCTATAGAAATAAAAAAAAGAGTCAAATTGGAGGGTGAAGAATTAGAAGAATATTTTAAAAATGAAGAGGAAAGAAGGGAACAGGAAAGGGAAAACGTGGACGTGTCATCAGATTCGGACGATGAATTGGAAATGATTCAAGTTTCGAAAGGTCGCCACGATTTTTTAGTTAAAGATTCGAAACCTCATTCGGGATTTTTTAAAACGAATAAAAAACAAAACGCCATGTTTCCATTTTACGAACACAAAGTTAAATTCGACGATTACGGGGAAATAATAAACCCAGATTTTTACAAATTGGAGGGGGAAAAAGAAAAAATGGACGATGTTAAAGATGAAGCCATGGATGAGGAAGAAAGAGTGGAAGATCAAGAAGTTCCGACAAAGTGCATAAGTTACACGAAAGAAATAATGATAAAAGCTCAAATACAATTCATTGATTTCGAAGGGAGATCCGACGGAGAATCGATACAAAAAATTATAAGTCAAATCCGACCGAGACGATTGATATTGATCAGAGGAACTGGAGAAAGTACAAAATCTCTCGTGAACATCGTGAGCAAATCGACGGATGCGAAAATATTTGCACCGCAAAAAAAATCCGAAGTCGTTGATGCCACGACGGAAACATACATATACCAAATAAGGCTCACGGATCAATTGATATCTTCCCTGTATTTTCAAAAGGGTAAAGAAGCGGAAGTTGCATGGTTGGACGCTCAGGTACTAACAAAAAATCGAAGTGCGGATGCTAGGCCTTCGGAAGAAGAAATGGAAATTGACGAAGAATTAAAAGATGAAATTTTAACGTTGGATTTATTACCAGTCGAAGACATACCCGGACACGAAACATCTTACATAAACGAACTTAAATTATCGGATTTTAAACAGATATTAAATAAGAACAACATTAATTGTGAATTTTCCGGGGGTGTTTTAAGGTGTTGTCACGGTTCGGTTGCCGTGAGAAGACACGAAGCGGGACGTGTCATACTCGAGGGATGCCTTTCCGAAGATTATTACAAAGTTAAAGAATTACTTTGTCAACAGTACGCCATTGTTTGATCAACACAAACGAAAGAAACCCGACATTGTAATGAATTCTTTTTGTTTCAAAACAATTTTACAAAATATTTGTTTATTTATCAATCGCTAAAACAGGCGGCTGTGGGCTGTGGGGGGCTCGGGTGGTGGTGGTTGTAATGATGATGAAACCACATTTGATCACCTCCCCCCCCCCCCCGATTCGCTTCATAGTTGTAATAAACTTAAACAAATCAACATGAATTATATACACAAAAATATTTTTTTTGTTTTTTATTTATACAAAAAAAAAATCGACAATGAATTCATCATTTAAATATGAGTTTTTTTTTTTTTTTTATGCTATCCTACTCTCAAATCGATCCTTTTCGAATTTTCCCTTTTTTTTTTTTTACATTTACGTAATCGACCGTGAAAATGATAATAATAGAAAGAGAGAGAAAGAGAAAGTGAAAGTGAAAGAAAGAAAGAAGAAAATTAGAAAAATGAAATTATTTCGCAAATGTATATATAATTAAGATACACACATTGCAACATACAAAAACTTATCACAGAAAAAGTATTATTAATACATTCATTCATATACATAATATAACTTATCACTTACAGAATAATAATAATAATAATAATAATAATTAATAAAAACATGTATTTTACTCATGATAATAATAATAATAAAGGCTAATAAAATTATTAAAATTTGCGGAATGATTAAAAAAAAAAAAAAAAAAACCCTCATCATCATCATCATTATTATTATTATTTAAAAAAAAAAAAATTTGTTTAATTTTGACGATTTTAAATAAATACGTATGTTTAACTTATGTAAAATTAAAATTTTTTAAAAATCCTCATTATTAACTATTATTTATTTATCAGAAACCCACTCCCCACCCGCAAAAAAAAAAAAAAACGATCATGTTAATTATTTATTTATTATTAAACGAACTTTTAATTATATATAAAATGTTTAAAATCGGATATTAATAATAGTTAAAGTCATTTTTATAAATTATAATCATTCCGCTTTATATTTTTATTAATTAATTAATTAATTTCACATGACGATAAATAAATAAATAAATGATAAAACAATTATATGCTACTACTGTGTCACTAATAAATAAATAAATAAATTAATAAATAATTTTTTTTTGTTTTAATCCGTGGAGTCATAGTTTAATATATAAATATATTAAATAAATAAGTTAAAAAGTATAAATAAATAAATATATATATATATATATATGTAGTCACGGGTAAATAGCTTGTTCGTATATATATATATATATATATATGTGTGTGTGTGTGTGATAACTACCTACGGATAATATTATATATTTATATATACGCTTGTATTTTCATAATAAAAATTTTTTTATTTTTTATTTTATTTTAATAACGTTTATTATTATTATTATTATTATTATTAATATTTAATTTCATACAAAAATCATTTATTAAAAATTAATTAATTACGGTTATTTATTATATATATGCGTCGATACACACACACACACATTATTTAAACGATTATTTTTATAAAATAAATAAAAATAAATCGAATATTCATAATAATGATAATAATAATACATATAATAATATTTTTTTTTTGCAAATTAATTAAATGATTTTTTACAGAATTCAAATAATAATAATAATAATAATAATAATTAGTTTAATTAAATAATTAATTAAATGTTGTACGATAGTGTTAAATTTTTGTGTGTTTTATTATTATTATTATTTTTTTTCTTTGGCATTTTTTTTTAAATTTAAATGTTCAATGATGTAATAAATTTAAATTTAAATTTAAATTTAAATTATCAATTTTAAATTAAATTGAATTTTAAATTTAGACTAGAATTAAAAATACTTTTTTTTAATTTACATACATATAAAAGTTGTACGATTGAAAATTATTAATTATAATAATAATAATGATAAAATTACGAAATATTTAAATTTGATTAATATTTAATTTTTAAATTGTATTACATTAATAATAGTGATGATAATAATAATAATAATAAATATCATCGGAGTATTTAAAAAAAAAAAAGGGGGGAGTGGACTAGAAATGATAATTTCTGATAAGTTTCGACGGCATTTATTTATAAAAATTTTTTTTTTTTAAATTTTGTGCAAAAAAAAGAAAATTGTAGCAGTAGTAAAAGTAGTAGTAGTAGTAGTAGTAGTAGTAGTAATGATAATAATAATACTTAATAATAATTTTGGCCGTCCTTTAAAATTTTTTCTTTTTTTTAAAAATTTAAACTTTTTTCAATTTGAGCGTTTTCTTTTTTTTTTTTATTTACTTTTTTAAATATCATTTCCAAATTTCTCGTGTTATTTCTTTCCCTTTTTTTATGTAAAATGTAATAATAATAATAATAATAATAATAACAAAAAATTATTTTATAATAAATCCGCGAATAATTGTTTTTTTTATTCAAAATTTTTGTGCCAATAATACTTTTTATTATTATTCAAAAATTAATTAACTTTTAACTTATTAATTAATTATTTTTTTTAAAAATGATTAATAATAATAATAATTTATTCATCCTTATGTCCGTATTCGTTTTATGTATATATGTATGTATGTAATAATAATAATTTGAATAAATTTTAATTAATTAAAATAAATAAATACATGCGGTTATGATGACAAAATTTTTTTTTATCTAAATTACATTTAATTTTGCCACCATTAACCCGTTATATGGTGGTGAACCTGAGTATTTAATGTGTCCAATGGATTAATAACCACATCTTTTTTTTAATATAATAGCAAAAAAGCAATATTCAAAGTTATACACACACACACGCAGACATTTTTCTTTTTTTTTTCTTCTTATTGGTAATTTATTACTCATAAGCGACAATAACTTCGAATAAGTTCACCGATTATTTTGACTAATTTTTTTTAAACGAATATAATGCTGACAATGCTTAATGTAACATCAATTAAATGCTTTCTAATAAAGTCAAAAAACGAAAATAATAATAAATAAAAAACTACAGCTTTTCTTTTCTTTCCTTTTTTTTTGGGGGGGGGTGGGGGGATTTTAATAAATTTTACATAAATTAAAATTAAAAAATTACGACACGAGTTTATATTGGGCAGTGACTAAGTTGCTGTGAATTAAATAGACGAATAAGTTTTTTACCTTTTTTTTCTTTTTTTTAAAGACTATCATCATCATCATTAAAAAAGAAAAAAAAATTACACGTAATGCCTACAATAATAACATAATTAAATAGTTTTCATGCTAGCAGTGAAGTAGTATAAATGGATTAAACGCAAGGCTAAATCAGAATGTCATAACTTTTTGTTTTTACACGGATCATGCAGACTTTGTTCTTATTTTTTTTTTTAATTCCAGATTCTTAGGAATGAATCCCAGGACCCGGTTGCAACGGCCATACCGTCATCAGTGACTCCGAGACAGCTCACGCGATTATCGTGACCCGCCAATATCCCCGCCCTTTCACTTTTTATTGAATCCCAAACGTTGCAATTGAAATCATCGTAACCGGCTAAAAGAAGACGGCCGGATTTGCTAAATGCCACGGATGTTATGCCGCAAATAATATTATCGTGAGAATACATTGATAATTCTTGATCGGCTCTAATATCGAACAATCTGCACGTGGCATCATCTGAACCTGTCGCAAATGCTTGACCGTTTGGAAAAAATGCAATCGCGTTTATATCGGATTCGTGACCGGGAAATGTTTGCTTGCAACATCCCTCACGGATGTCCCAAAGTTTAGCCGAAGCATCGCACGCGCCTGATACAAATGTGCGCATATCGGGAGACAGAGATAAACTCATAACGTCACCCGTGTGCCCCGTGAAAGAGGTACATTGTTGACCTGTTTCAATGTCCCAAAGGGCACATGTCATATCTCCAGAGCTAGTTACAATTTGGTTGTCATCTAAGAAACGACAACAAGACAAATAACCCGTGTGACCAGGTAATTCTCTTGAAACTCTGACATTGCCCTCCCTAGTTTTTAAGCTGTAAATTGAACATATATTATCCAAGCCTCCGCAGGCGACAAATGATCCGCTGGGAGCATAAGCACAAGTCATAACCCAACTCGACCTCAATGGTATGGCATGGACTTTATTAGTCGTGTAACTGTCCCAAACTATGAGTTTACCATCTTGAGATGCAGACACCAAATTTCTCGATCCGGAATTCGAGTCAGAACCCCAGTGCATTGCATATATTTTAGCAAGATGTCCTCTTAGTGTTCTTCTCGTTCTCATTTGTATTCTTCCGATGGGTTCCATGTTGGCTGTTGCTTGAACCAAAGTTGTGTCGCATGCTGCTTTTCTGGCATCTCTAATGCAATTTTTAAGAGTTTCAGCCTCTTGACGTAAGCTATCTAGTTCATTCATTTTGAAGCTTGATACTTCACTGGAAAAATTTATTGTTAATAATATATTAAATTGTATTAAAAATGAATCAATTAATAAGAATATCAAAGTGAAAAATTACCTGTTAATAAATCTTCAAAAAAAAATCCAATTTAAAAAAAAAAAAAAGTGTCTTGTTTTAATAATTTTAATATTATGTGAGAAACCTTGTATAAATTATAACAATTCAATCATTGAAAATAATTTAACATTTTAGTAAAATGATAAAAAACATTTGAAAGTGGGGGAAAAAACCGTTAAGGACTAATAATATTCGATAATAGTTTTAAAAAAAACGACTAAACTCGAATAAAAAAAAAAAAAAAATTAATTAATCCGGTGATCACGTACGCCAAATCAAAATATTATATAATAAATTATTATAACTCTTTTCAACACAAAAATCAAAAAACTTTTTTCTTTTTTTTTTTTTAAAAAAAACAAACAGTTTAAAATAAAAAATAAAACAAATTGATAAAAACACTGATATTTAATTTATAAAAAAAAAAAAAAACACATCAGCGATTAATTTTTATTAGAAATTTTCCACCGACAACCAACCAACCAACTCCCAAGTCAATCGACGAAATTCCTGTGCTCAAAAATTTTTCTTTTATTTCCTACAGCATGAAGAGTGAGAGAGAGAGAGAGAGAAAAATTATTTCAAATATTAATTTACTCAACGGATTTAAAAAACTAATATCGCGATTATTAATAACATTTGATATTTATTATAATAATAATCACTTTAAAAACAATTTTAATGAATACAACCCTTATACATTAAACCTTTTCATTTTCAGTAAACGCCATGACACATAGAGCGCGTTCAGAAACTCATTTCTTCCAAGTCAAAAGGTTAAAGCTGCAGAAACCCTCAATGGCAACAACAAAAGAAAATTTTTTTTTGTTTTCGTTTCTTATTTATAAATTTCCTCTTTTAATAATTCCATAACCTTTATAAAAATTTTCTTTTTCCCATTATTTTAATTCGAAATTTAAAAAAAATTAATAATTATCTGTAATCTTTAAACCGAAAAAAATTGTTTTGCCTTTTTTACTAAAACTACATGTAATGATTATCATTATGTATGGCACTTTTTAAATGACCTTTTCAAAAGAATTAAGTGTCTGTCTGTTTGTTTGTTCCCTTACCTTTTATTAATTTAATTAATTATATTAATTTTAAAATTATTATTAAATAAATATTTGAAAAGTAAAAGAAAAGCAGGGATTAGGATATTTAAACCTATAAATAAATTCCAAAAAAAAATTATTTTGTATTTAATGGTTAGTCATTTTAATAGTTAATGTATATCATAAGTTACTAAATTTATTATTATTATTATTGTTATCATTATCGATAAAGT